TGATGGTGGAACATCTTTCTACATCTGATGGTGGAACATCTTTCTACAGCTGCTGAGCAGAGAGGAATCATTTGTAGATCATTGTAGATCATGCAGATCGTTAAATAAGAATGTCAGATGAGTGAAAAGGGGTTTTATAGAGTGATGTCTAACGTTTAGGAGACATCAGGGTCTGAGAGCTGATGACCTGGACCCTGAGTCCTCCTCGACACCATCCTGTTCTGGTGAAGCTCGGTGCTGGACGTAGAGCAGAGCCACGACCTCAGTTTGCTCCTCCGGCTGCATGAAGCCGAGATCAGGGCCTGGAAATAAAAACCCTCCGTGACTAACATGAAGGATGTTTGGCTCGTCGTGCTGCCGCCGGGCCAATCGGACAGCGCCGCTGTCACGAGGACAAAGGTCCCTCCAGCAGATCGGTCAGCTGACAGCCGGCTGACGTCAGTTTTATGTAACGCTGCAGAATGAAGAAGCCTTTATGGAGCTTAAGGTGGATCTAGAGATGCTGCTGGAGGAAGAGATCCTGAACAAAGAGTAAAACACAGAACAGTCGACCAATCAGCAGCGTTTAGTGCCGTTAGCTCCGCCCTCATCGCTCCTGAACCGACAGACTTTGGTTTGTTTTGGTTTTTTTATTGGTTCCTATTTTTGGTTTTGTTATTTTTTTCATAGGTTTTTTTGTAGCTTTATTTTGAGTTTTCATCAGTTTGTGTCTTTCTATTCGTTTTGTGTTGGTTTATGTTGGTTTTTCACTGGTTTTCAACATTTTGTACTGTTTTTTTAGTGGCCTGCGTTGCTTTGTCTGAAGTTTTCCTTGGCTTGGGTGATTCTGAGTTAGTTTGTCATAGACTTTTGTTGTTTTTGCTATTATTTTCTTATTATTTTTGTTGTTTGTCATTATTTTGTGTTGGTTTTTTATTGGCTTTACGGCAGTTTGCATTGGTTTTTTATTGGTTTGTGTTGTTTTGTGTTAGTTTTTCACTGGTTTTTGACATTTTGTGTTGGTTTTTTAGTGGCCTGTGTTGCTTTGTCTTGAGTTATCCTTGGCTTGGGTGATTTTGTGTTAGTTTTTCATTGGCGTTTGTTGTTTTGTGTTGGTTTTTCTCTGGTTTTAGGCGTTTTGTGTTGGTTTGCAGCATTTTGGATTTTCATAGTTTTTTTTTTCGTCATTTCGTTTTCATTGGTTTGTGTTGGTTTTTATTTGCTTCCGACAATTTGTTTTGGCTTTTCATCGCTTTGTGTTGGTGTTTCGTGGGTTTGCGTCTTTAAAATCAAAGTGCGAGCAGCTGCAGCTTCTTCGTGTTTCTGAGGTTTGTTTCTTTTTATATCTCAGCAGCTCATTAAAGAGCCGAAGGCCTCGACGATTAGCTCATCGTCTTTAAAGTCCGGCAGCGAAGTGAAGCAGCTCTGAGCCTCTTTCTGGGCTTTCTGTTGGTTTTTCATTGTTTGATCATTTTGTGCCGGTTTCTTGTAAGTTTGTCTTTTTCTTGTCGTTTTCTTGGTCTTTCACTGGTTTACGTCTCTTTCTAGGTGTTTTTGTGTTGGTTTGTGTCTCTTTCTGGGTGTTTGTGTTGGTTTTTCAATTGTTTGCATCATTTTTGTTTTGGTTTCTCATCTATTTGTGTCTATTTCTGTTCCTTTGTTGTGTTCATTGGTTTGAACAGTTCTGTGTTGGTTTCTTATTGCGTTGTGTTCGGTGTTTATTGGTTTGTTTCTCTTTTCTGGTCATTTGTGTTGATTTCTCATTGATTTGTGTGTCTTTGTAGTTGTTTTTGTGTTGGTTTGCATCTCTGTTTTTTTTTTTGGTCTTTGTTGGGTTTGCATTGGTTTGTTTCTGGTCGTATTGTTCCAGTTTTTTACTGGTTTGTGTCTCTTTGTCGTCATTTGTGTTGGTTTCTCATTGATTTGCTGTTTTTTGTGGGTGTTTGTGTTGGTTTTTCGTGGGTTTGCGTCGTTTTTGTTTTGGTTCCTCATCAGTTTGTGTCTCTTTCTGGTCGTGTTGTGTTGGTTTCTTGTCGGTTTGTGTCACTTTGTGTTCGTTTTTCAATGGTTTATGTCTCCGTCTAGTTGTTTTTGTGTTGGTTTGTGTCTTTTTGTAGGTTTTTCTGTTGTTTTTTTTCTTGGGTTGTGTCGCTTGAATTTGATTTTGCATCAGTTTGTGTGTTTTTCTGTTTGTTTGTCGTAGCGTTTCGTTGGTTTCTCATCTGTTTATGTCTCTTTCAGGTTTGTATTGTGTTGATTTGTCACCGGTTTGCGTTGTGTTGTTGGCTTTTCAGTAGTTTGTGTGTCCTTCTGGTCATTTTGTGTCTCTTTGTGGTGACTTTCTGACATTAGATGTTAAACGTCTGATGATAATGAACAGCGGTTTTATCGAACTGCGTCACCGAAAACCAAAGTGTGTGTGTTCGTGTGTGTGCGTGCGTGTGTGTGTGTGTGTGTGTGTGTGTGCGTGTGTGTGCGTTAACACCGGATAAGGCCTTCTTGTGTGTTCGAGTCTATTTCTGTCTGTGTGGGAACAGAAGCTTCATTGTAGAGCAGCTGAGCAGGAAGTGGAAGTCGACGCGTACGAAAACACAACCGCACACACGTCATGCACACACTTCACAACCTTCGCACAAAACCGGTGATCCCGTCATTCACAACTCTGCGCGCACACGCACACACACACACACACACACACACACACACACACACACACACACAGAGTCCTGCTGGGTTTTATTCCGGTCATTTCATCAGAACAATGGTGCTGGACGCTGCGTTAAGCCGTCCTCGTGCCGCGTAGAACGATGTTGACGTCGTGTCTTCCTTCGGATCCGAGGTGATGCTCAGGTGACGTCAGCGGGGCGTCTGGAGGTCCCTGAACGCATCGCTACGGTTGAAATCAGAGCTGAGTTGCTGCTGCTGTTATTCGTCCTCGTTAAAGTCTGTTTTAAAGCCTCTTTCAGGGCCGCCGGGCTTTATTTAGAACACAGGAATGTGGCTTTTTCCTTCCAGATCAAACGCAGAGCGACGGTTCCAAACAGACTTTAGGATCTGACGAAGCAGCTGCAGAGGATTTAATAAACGTCTCTGTCGGCTGCAGCTGTGACAAAATCTGTTGTTGATCTCCATCTACACAGATTATTGATCAGCTCTGCAGCAATAAAACTGAACTGATTGATCACAGAGAAAGTCAGAAACCAGAATGTGAGGCTCCCGGTTTGCACACAACTCTACAGCTACACACATCTACACAACTACACCACAGCGTTCTTAACAAGGCCGAACGACGTGCAACAAACACACATCTTAATCTTTGGTTTTAGTGAAAATGTTGGATTTTGCTTTTGTTTGCACTCAAACACACACCAGGTTGGTTTTTGTTCCTTCACGTCTGGAGAACATTTGATGAAGCGTTTCACCGTCAGCACCAAACTGCTGCTCCTCTCGTCTGCATGTTGTTGTTGTAATTAATGTGAGTGAAATGTGACCATCAGAGTGAGGAGACGCCTTCAGGTGTCGCTCTAACAGTCCAGATATTCAGTCACAGTGACCTGCTTCCTGTCTACCTGTGTTCCAGGTGATCACCCCCTGCAGGCGTCTCATTCTGTGTGCGGACAACAGGAAGGAGATGGAGGAATGGATGGCAGCGCTTCGCAGCGTCCAGAACAGGCAGAACTATGAGGTGTGGTTCCCAGTGTTCCCAGTATACATGTCAGAGCTTCAGTGAGAAGCAGCTGGACTTCTCTTTGTCACTAACCTTCGACTCACACGCCTCGAGGTGTGGATGTTTGTGAAACTGCCAGGTGAGAGGGACTCTAGGTGAAACATACTCAGTAGGAATCTGAAGGACCTGATCAGTGGTGTTCAGAGACTTCAGTCCTCTCCAACCGTCTGTCTTCTACGTCCAGGATGTGGACGTCGTCGTCCTTCAGACACAGATGGATGCTGAGTCTGGTTCTGAGAATATTCCCTCGGCACGTAGTAACCTCTAAGACCACTTGTCAGAAGCTCCATGTCCTCACAGCAGATCTTTTCTTTCACCGTTATATGTCCAGGATTACACCAGGCTGCTCCCCCAGTAGGTCCTCTGGCTCTTTATGAGTGCCTCCAGCTCGTCACATTTGTTTGATTGGGAGTTGACATTCCCTATAGACGGTGCAGCCGGCTTGTATTTCCACCACGTAGCGGTTAGCTTAGCCTTTACCTTCACCCCAGCTCTACACCTGCGGTACACCTTCCCTAGCGCAGCCGGGATGGGGTGTTTGCCTCCGTGTTCAGTCCATCAGAATGCAAGGAGGGCTTGTCCAGAGTATACAACTCTGTTTGAAGGTGTCGACATTGCTGGATGCCAAACAAATACCGAAAAACACCCTGAAACACAAGGAAACTCGAGAGCTACAGAGAGACATGCTGCCATTCAGGGACGGGCATGTGCTGATTCTAAAGTACTCGGCATGTTCACTGGCTCGTTGCTCAGCTTGTGTTCAGTGTTTAATCATCAGCGGGAACCAGTTTGTGTCTCAGAGCGTTATTGGGTCTGAGGGCCACCAGGGTATTGGTGGACCTCCCGTTGATCTTCATGTGTTTGTCCTCCGAGCTGAGAGAAGACTGAAGGAGTCTCTGAACAGAGGAGGGTCTCCACAACACCACTCATCAGGTAGTTATAGTCCTGAGTTTGACCTCCGTTAACACCTGGAGTCGTCCCTCACCAGGTAGTTTAACAACCATCACACCTCCAAGCATGTGGCTCATTCATGGACCAACAGCTTCAGATCTGTAGAAACCTCTGGATGAAGGTGAAACTTCCTCAAGAGCAGTTGTTTTCTGCTGAAGCTCTGAGGATGATTCAGACTCTCCAGACTGGTCCCAGTACAAGCTGCTGACTGTGTGTGTGTGTGTGTGTGTGTGTCTGTCCCAGTCCACCCAGTACAGCATGGACCACTTCAGTGGGATGCACAACTGGTACGCCTGCTCCCACGCCAGACCCACGTACTGCAACGTGTGCAGGGAGGCGCTGTCGGGAGTGACGTCGCACGGACTGTCCTGTGAAGGTACACAACGCAAATACACAACGCAGATACACAACAAATACATAACAGACATACAACAGCTACACAACGTAAATACACAACACAGATACACAACAGCTACATAACATGTATACTCAACTACACAACACTTGTACAAAACACATACACACCATGACTACAGACCAGCTGTACACGTGTACACAACAGATACACGCAACACTTAAACATACGACTACATAACATGTATACAGAACAAATACACAACACCTGTACACACAACTGCACAACACGTGTATATACACAGCTACACAACAGATGCACACACAGCAACGCAACAAGTATACACACGGTTACACAACTGCACAGCACTTCCACACACAGCTACATAACATATATACACACAACTTACACGCACACCAATACACAACATATATACACACAGCTACACCACACGTGTACCCACAACTACATAACTACATGATAGAAATACACACAGCTACGTGACTATACAACATGTACACACACCTACACAATGTTTACACGAGGACACACTCACTGCATCGACTTAGTCCACGTTGACACTGACATACATCTGCTGTGTGTGTGTTACCTGTGCGTGTGTGTGTGGTTGTGTGTGTGTGTTACCTGTGCATGTGTGTTGCAGTGTGTAAGTTTAAGGCCCATAAGCGTTGTGCGGTCAGAGCCACCAACAACTGTAAATGGACGACTCTGGCATCTATTGGGAAGGACATCATCGAGGACGAGGACGGGGTGAGACAGACACACACACAAACACACACCTGAGGGTAAACACCTGTGATCCCTGACCTCTGACCCCTCCCTCGCCCTGCTCAGGTGTCGATGCCCCACCAGTGGCTGGAGGGGAACCTGCCGGTGTCGGCCAAGTGCAACGTCTGCGACAAGACGTGCGGCAGCGTCCTCCGGCTGCAGGACTGGAGGTGTCTGTGGTGTAAAGCTATGGTGAGACTTGCTCGCACACACTCACGCCATTATCGGCCTCGTGTCGGCGAGGCGCGCTGGGTTTACGTGTCGGCGTGTCCCTCTGTCCTCCAGGTGCACTCGGGCTGTAAGGAGCAGCTGTCCTCCAAGTGTCCTCTGGGCCAGTGCAAAGTGTCCGTCATCCCTCCGACGGCTCTCAACAGCATCGACTCTGACGGTGAGCTTCATCACAGTGACGCTGCCCTCCGGAGGCCAGACACCATCACTGCACGTCCACGCAAACCTGACAGACACACACGACCGAGTAGCTCAAAATACGTCTAAAATAGCTTAAAATTTGCTTAAAGTAACATAAAATCGTCCAAAATTGCTTAAAAACTCGTACACACTCACTTTAGAATTATTCAGAACTTAGTAGTAGTTCAAAATAATATAATTTTGTCACCATTTTGAGTCATTTTGGGCAATTTTTACTCCAGCCTGTACAGACTTTTTTTCCTCTACTCTGCTCATCAGCTGTCGACAGATGTTTCACCATGCTGGATGCATCTTCAGCCACCTCTGTTCACTGTTTCTGAGCCTGCTGCATTTGTTGTAGACATCCTGCGCGTTTAATTTTCCTCTCAGTCAGACGTTGTCCAAATGATTTGAAACATCTCAAAATGACTCAAAAGTTGTCTAAAATAACTTAAAACTTGTGCAAAGTCATGTAAAATTGTCCAAATTTACTCAGAAATTGTCCAAACTCACATAATTTTCCAAAATGAAAAACAAAAATGCTTTAAAGTGGTTCACAGTGAGTAACTAAGTGACTGACTGTTGCAGCTTGATGTGGTTAAACTCACTGAGATTCTGTTCAGGGTTCTGGAAGGCCTCCTGTCCCCCATCCTGCACCAGTCCTCTGCTGGTGTTTGTCAACTCCAAAAGCGGAGACAACCAGGGAGTGAAGTTCCTGCGACGCTTCAAACAGCTGCTGAACCCGGCGCAGGTGTTCGACCTGATGAACGGAGGGCCCCACCTGGGGTAAGACACGCCCACAGACAGGTGGACGGTGCGATTCACGTGAAGCTTTGCCATAAAAACACTCTAAACCCGTCTCGCTCTGTCAGGCTGCGGCTGTTCCAGAAGTTCGACACGTTCAGGATCCTGGTCTGCGGAGGAGACGGCAGCGTCGGCTGGGTTCTGTCTGAGATCGACGCCCTCACGCTGCACAAACAGGTAAAAACCAGAGCCTGACATCATCACGGCGGCAGCACCTGTGCAGGTTTAACCATGTCGGTGTCTGTGTTCAGTGCCAGCTGGGGGTTCTTCCTCTGGGGACCGGCAACGACCTGGCCCGGGTTCTGGGTTGGGGTTCAGCCTGCGACGACGACACTCAGCTGCCTCAGATACTGGAGAAACTGGAGCGAGCCAGCACCAAGATGCTCGACAGGTGACTGACTGAATGCACCGAATACCGTCTGAGTTTGTTTATTTGTTATCTGGAAACCTACAGCTAAGTTCTGTAAAATGTTGTGACTGGACTTTGAGAATTTCATGTGTTCAGCGCTGAGAATTTTTGTATTTTCACCCTTAAGAAAACCTGGTAGACATTTTAAGAGTTCAATATCTACAGAATTTTTTTTTTTTTTTTTAATTTTTGATTTGTTGCAAGTTTGGCAACACAAGGTTCCAGTTTTTAGATATTTTGACAAAATTGTGACATTACCTTATTGGTAGGAAACAAAACCTGGTGTTTACAGATTCTATAATCTGTTATTATATGTGCAAAGTCACAAGCTGCTTCAATTTAACAACGTATGAGGCTGATTTTGTAGCTGAAATGGACTCTGAACAGAGACGATTATGATAATACTTTTGAGGGTAAAATGTCAAGGTCTGAAAATGTATACAAATTCTCAAAATTCAGCCAGAACATTTAATAGAACTTAGTTTTTGGTCCCAAATAATAAACAAGTGAGCTCATGCCGTCCAGGTAAAACACTCTCTCTTCCTGCTGCAGATGGAGCATCATGGTCTACGAGACAAAGTTTCCGCGGCAACACTCGGCCTCCACCGTCACCGAGGACTGCAGTGACGACTCCGAGGTAACGGGAGCTTTGATCTGGCCTGGAGACACGATAACCTGAGTTAATCATATAACCTCTGTAATGCGGAGACACCGCGGTGAAACTGAGTCACATCATCAGACGGTTAAAATGAAGTCTTTGACAGACAACTAAAGGGTCACATCTGGTTTATGGATAATGTTCTGACTGCAGTGTTTCCTTCCTCTGATCAGGTCCAGCAAATTCTCACCTACGAGGACTCGGTGGCGGCTCACCTGTCCAAGATCCTCACCTCAGACCAGCACTCTGTCGTCATCTCCTCTGCCAAGTACGAACATCCATCCATCCATCCATCCATCCATCCATCCATCCATCCATCCATCCATCCATCCAT